TGTCCCCCTGTGCCCGGGTCCGCATCCGGCGTAACCATGCTTTAGACAGTTCCATACAGGTTCAGTTTCAGACACACTAGCATGTGGGTCTGCCGCCGCAACATGTAATAACTATGGTTTGTCTAAAGCAGACAATGGGGGAAAATAAATAAAAGAGCCTTATAAAGATACAAATTGAGTATAAAGCAGGGCTGGTCCCCGGATGGACCAGGGACCCCTTCCCCATCCGCGGTCCTCCCGGTTGGACCGGCCGGTGGCCTGGGCCGGTTCCCTCCCGGTCGCCCCCAGTGCATTTTTGCTGGGGCCTGAAAATTCTTTTTGGCGGCGCGTACGTGTCAAGGAGGCCTCGTGGGGGCAGGCCCTGCCCCGCAATAATGAAACCGGGTCCTGTAGGCCTGCGTTTTCGAAGTCCAAAAAGTGGCCAATCTTGGCCGCCAATCGTCGCAGATCAGCGGCAAAGATCGGCCACTATTTTGAATCTGTTGTGGCGGGAAACCGATCGTGCAGCGGGGGAAAACACATCGCGCGTTCAACCCCGCTCACCTCCAGTCTGTGCAGCCGCTCCGTCGTCGCCTCCGACAGCCAGCCACGCCATCGTCGCCACCGCCAACCAGCCGCGCCATCACCCGCTGCAGCCGCGGCATCGTCGGTAGGTCTCCGCAGGGTGCAGCATCGCCATCGTCGCCTCGGCCAGCCAGCCGCAACATCGCGCCCCCCCGCCAGCAAGCCACTCCATCACACCCCCAGGTTTGTTTCTTCTTCTTCTTCTTCTTCTTCTTCTTCTTCTTCTTCTTCTTCTTCTTTGTGGACACTCTCCTCGCCCGTAAGCCATATCCGTCCTCCGCTTTCCCTTCTTCTTCTTCTACCTCCTCCTCCTCCTCTTCAAGTCCTCCTCTTTTAGCCATCGGCTTGCGTTCTTCTTCTTCCTCCTCCTCCTCCTCCTCCTCCTCCTCCTCCTCCTCCTCTTCTTCTTCTCCTCCCTCTTCTTCGTCATCTTTGTCTTCTTCTTCCTCCTCCTCCTCCTCCTCTTCTTCTCCTCCTCCGTTAGCCATACCCCTTAAATTTTTTATTTTATTTTTTTCGTTGCTGCCTCAAGGCCCCTGTTTTCACTATTCTTCTTCTTCTTCTTCCTCCTCCTCCTCCTCCTCCTCTTCTTCTCTCCCCTCTTCTTTGTCATTTTCTTCCTCCTTGTCCTCATCCTCTTCTTCTCCTCCTCCCTCTTCTTCGTCATCTTCTTCTTCTTCTCCCTCGTCCTCCTCCTCTTCTTCTCCTCCTTCGTTAGCCATAGTCGTTTTTTTTTTGTTTTTTTTCCGTTGCTGCTTCAGCTCCATTGGGTTCTTCTTCTTCTTCTTCTTCTTCTTCTTCTTCTTCTTCTTCTTCTTCTCCTCCTCCTCCTCTCCCCTCTTCTTCGTCATTTTCTTCCTCTCCTCCCTCTTCTTCGTCATCTTCTTCTTCTTCTCCCTCCTCCTCCTCCTCCTCTTCTTCTCCTCCTCCGTTAGCCATAGCCGTTAATTTATTTANCTTCGTCATCTTCTTCTTCTTCTCCCTCCTCCTCCTCCTCCTCTTCTTCTCCTCCTCCGTTAGCCATAGCCGTTAATTTATTTATTTTGTTTTCCATTGCTGCTTCAACTCCCTTGCGTTTTCTTCTTCTTCTTCTTCTTCTTCTTCTTCTTCTTCTTCTCCTCCTCCTCATCATCTTCTCTCCCCTCTTCTACGGCATTTTCTTCCTCCTCCTCCTCCTCCTCCTCCTCCTGTCCTCCCTCTTCTTCGTCATCTTCTTCTTCTACGGCGAGCAGGCCGAGGAGGCAGCTCTTGCCAATGCCGAAGTGTGCCAGGGGCTGGCGTGCAGCAGCCTGCTTGAGCCAGGTGTGGGAACAGTCTAAATATAGGCTGTTCCCAAACCCTTGCATGGGTCCTGGGGACCATCTCACGCAAGTGTGTACATGCCATGCATCGTACTCCCACACACAATGAACAGTAGTCTGACAATAGACAAAGATAGAGAAGATAAGGACCGAGTTTCACAGTTTATATTATCAGAAATATGAATACAAAGTGTTTCAAAGTTCCCCTGAGTCCAGCGCTCATCAGCGCAACACCAATTTCTTGCCAACTCATCAATATGCCTTCCAGTGAATCAGTGCTACCCCTGCAGATAGTCTCCAAGTCATCAATGTGGTC